CGTGTTTAAGAGTTTAATATTATTATTATTATTATTATTATTATTATTATTAAAATATTAGTATACATAACGATATAATACCATCATAATAACTTCTTATTTAAATTATCACCCATTTTTCCATTTCCACTCCCATTTGCACTTCAATTCATGCTCTAATCCTCATTCTCGTTGTGATTTTCATTCCATTATATTCCCATTCATTCATGCATTCATTCATGTCATCATCAGAACATATATGCCACATCGAGTTCTGTATTTAGATGAAGACTGATATAAGCTGCATCGACCATTGGCGTTGGTGAGACACTATCTGTACTGATTACTCTGTAATACCGCAGCACTACGTGATCTGCAGCGTAACCCATTCCGCGATCGTAGAATGAGCGAGAGAGAAATCAAAGCTCGCAAACGACATCGACGTATAATTCGGCACCGCACCGTCGCGTATTCAATCATAAAGATACGCGTGTGTTGACCCAGCGTCGATTGAGTTAGGTATGGCGACGTTGAACCAACACGGCGACTGGTGTGCTTTAGCTATTACGTGAAACGTGCGCATCGTTGGTGGATATTGCGTCTGGCAAGTTTCAGCAATTCGGATACGTAATTAAACGGTCTCACTCTTTGTCTGTATTCCCCCCTTCTCTCTCTCTAATCTCTCCTCTCTCTCTCTCCTCTCTCTCTTCTCTCGTCTCTCTCTTCTCTCACCTCTCTCTCTGTCGTGTATTCCCCCCCTTCTCTCTCGGCTCGTCTCTGCGCTCTCTCTTCTTCTCTCTCTCTCTCTGTTCTGTTATTCCCCCTTCTCTCTCTCTCTCTCTCTCTCTCTCATCCTTCTCTCGCTCTCTCGCTCTCGTCTCTTTCTACTCTCTCTGTCTGTATTCGCCCCCTGTCTTCTCTCTCTCTTCTCTGCTCTCTCTCTCTCTCTCTCTCTCTCTCTCTTCTCCTCTCTCTCTCTCTGTTTCTGTATCTCTTCTCTTTCTCTCTCTCTCTCTCCTCTCAAACTATCTCTCATCTCGTCTCTCTCTCTCTCTCTCTCTCTCTCTCTCTCTCTCTCTCTGTCTCTTTCTCTCTCTCTCTAAATAGCATATATTTGCTCGTAATTTTAAAATTAGAATGTTTGAATAATTTTACGACATACCGCGGCCTGCATATTTGAGGCAATTCCGTAACTGTTATCCGAGAAAGTGCATGCTCGCTGTACAGTGTAGAATCCGACCCATGCATTTGCCAAAACAATTGCCGCGAAAACAACAAATAAATTTCAACCACGAATGGTTCACGAATGATTCTTAACGAAAATGTCGCGTATTCTCTCCTAGTTAGATGACGAAACACCCAATAACAGTTATCACACTACGTTTGGGAATTTCCACGGAACAACTGTTCTAACAAATACATCGAATTCCATACATAACGGCGACGTTTCAGAACTTAGTAAAACCCAACACGAGACCTCGGCATGCCACGATACGGTTCGTTAAAAGATTCCATAGTGGATTTTACGACATTAAACTGTTTCACCCCGCCACGCCACGGCGCATAACTTGCCCTTCACGACTGAATAAAATGGCGGTTGGCAAGGGCAACAATTAAGAAATTGTTCGATAAAACTCCGGATATTCTGCAACGTGGGATGTTGAAATATCGGTATTGATGCTAATGTAGCTTGTTTGAGATCGGAGTTACCTCTGTCGTCTCTAAAACGAATTTAATGGATAAACGACCTTTTCTCATTATTTCCTAGGGTATTACCTTACTAGGGTAGATTCGTGCTACAGAGCAATTTTTAACATTTGATATACTCGAAAAATAATAGGAAATTTGCATCGAAATCTTGTTGGTATTTGCTAAGGAAGACTCTTATGTAAAGTGACGCCTACATTGTGGCGGCGATATAGTCAATTATATATATATTTATAGAACAAATACATTTTGCTCATTTCAGACGACGAATTTATAACCAAAGAGAAATTATATTTATTCCTAACTAGAAGAATAAATTATAACCGAGTCACCTGGGCTATATGTGTGTCCAATTTAACTGCGATTACGATATAAAATATTGCAATTCTTCGTGCACTAAACGAATAAAAAATATTAAAAGCACATCTGTGTAAAACGTGTGAAAATAGACATCAATAGAGCAGCGTAGTGGCCCCTACGTAACGTCTATTGGCAGCAGAACAGGCAATATCGCAACGATGTATACATAAATCGTCACGTTTTGAAATCAAAGTCGGTATTTGATTAAGGTTACCATTAAGCAACAGAAAAGAGCATAAGGAATAATGAAAATACGTTTTTTAACCGAGGACAATGACGTTGAAAGACACGTAGTGCTTTCATTTAATCAACTTCAACCGTTTGATCCTTTCAATAATGTAACACGTTTTTTCACAGAAATATACGCCAGTTATTTAATAAAGCAAAGTGAGTTATAATAATTCGGAATCCTCGCCTTTATCGAAATCTAGTTACAGGCGGGACATGAAAGCTCAGACGACGCAGGCCTGAAAGGAACGCGTGGGTTCTGCGCTTGCGCAGCAATTCTGGGGAAGAATGAAACGCAAGAACGCTTAATTCTCGTCGCTTAAAAAGAAAAAAAAAGAAAGAAAATCTATTCATGAGCGATAGAGCGTTCAATAGAAGCTCTCGGGGTTTTGGCCGCTGTGACGTCACTCTCAAATCATGATGCGACAAAACCGCTATCTGTCGTCTGCCACGCGCAGATCATTGGCGCTCGCGCGATCTCTCCTTCTTGCGTCTTGCTATGAATGAATCGTCTGTCTATATACTACTGCTAATACTCGATTCTGTCTATCGATGACTGACTGTCGAATGCGTGCTAAGCATGGTCGTCAACGCGGTTCGGTATAAGCCCCCGATAATGTATTAAAATAAGGGTTTTACTCGGTTTCACTTAATTCTCGCATTGGTACGTGGCGACGGCACGACGCTATGAGATAGATGGGATGGTTTGTGGTGGGGTGGGTGGTGTGTGGTGGATGGGTGGTGGGTGGTGGGTGATGGATGGGTGGTTTGTGGTGGGGTGGGTGGTGTGTGGTGGATGAGTGGTAGGTGGTGGGTGATGGTATATATATATAAATATATATATGTGGCACCAAGCTCTGCGAGGCAACAGAAGGCGGCGTGCACTTGTATTTTCGCTGCTGGTCGCATAGGATTCTGTGGACCATGAAAAACGGGAAATGGGTATAGGCTGTTAGCGGTATCGATGGCGGAATAATCAGCGTCGAATGTTCCTCTAAATAAGGGGATATCGTCGCATCTACAACACACTCGTTCAATACGGCACCAATAAAGCCACTCTGAATCATGCCCGCGAAATTTCGTGCTAAATCTTCACCCTTATACTTTCAGATTGAATGCCTCATATCATATAATAACTAAATTTACGCTTTCATTGTGAGTGAACAGCGTCAGCTAAATTGAGAAGATCACGCCTCATTACGCATAAACAACGGCGAATTAAGAAGAATCTGATTTGAATAGGTTCGTTTAAAACAAAGATGGAGGAGATTGTATTAGCGATATCTAGTACAATCTCACGCTCAATCTCTCTTTGCCGGTGAAACTGACCTATCGACATACTGGCCCCTTATATTCGCTGAGGCAACATTACATTAGGAGGTGAAGGAAAAATCTTTGCATAATTTTAAAACGAATTAAAGTCGATTGGACGTTGTGAAATTACGCAATATGCGAGCTCACGCGCTGCGGTTCTCACCCAGTCGAAACAGACTCACATGCGAGATCGGTTAATCACTCCTCTACGCTACCTCTAATGTTTTGCCGACCACGGCCTGTCTGATGGACTATTCAACGATGAGCGGCTACGGGGTTTTGCGTCGATTCCGAGGAGCAACAATCAGACAATACTGCTCTGTATATACGCGCGCACGATCAGAATGAGAGGGAGTAGAGCAGGCCGCAGTTTGTGAAGTCAGCGTCCGTAACTCATTAGTGCACCGCGTGAGTTCAGTCAACACGCGCCGTCTGCGATTTCACGAAACCTCATCATTCATCTCCTCTCTTCCTCTCCCTTCTCTCTGTCTTCATGTCTCCCCCTCTCTCTTTCTTTCCCTTCCTATTTCTCTCTTGCGTCATCTCTCTCACTTTCTCCCTCGCTCGCTCTCTTTTACTCTCTTCACACACACACACACACACACGAGCGCATCGGCCTACACACCTACACACATCGTACGGCACGCATGCACGCACACGCGCGTGTACACGCAGGCACGCGCGCACGCGCCCATGCATACACCCACATCACTGCACAGTAAACATCGCGAACGCTTCCGTCCTCAAATAACACGTCATATAAGTGCAGCTGATAATTGGATTCATTCGCAGGAAATGAAGTCCGACTAGGGCCGCAGGAAACCCAGTTGAATATCTTATATATATAAGATATGTATATATATATATACATATATATATATGTATATATATATATATATATATATATATATACATATAATATAACAATGAGAGTGACATGGCCGCCACCTGTACCTGGAATACTTGTTCCCAGCGCGACGAACGAGATGGCGGTGACCGTGTCTCTGAGACCTATGGTACAGCCGAAGTGCTTCGCCAGGTCACCGATGAAAGCCGTCAGTACGCCGATCATGAAGATGCTGACAGTGAAGCACAGCCAGCCTCCCCAGTAATCTGCAAGAGCGGAGAGAAAGAGAGTGAGAGAGAATGTAGAGAGAAGGAGAGAACGTAGAGAGAAAGCGAGAGAGAGAGAGAGAGAGAGAGAGAGAGAGAGAGATAAAGCGAGAGGCCTTGCAAATATTTCCATTAGAGAAGACCCTCGAAAAAAAGGATGAAGTAAGATAAGACCAAGAATCAGAAGAAGAAGAATAAGAAAAAGAAGGAGGAGGAGAAGGAAAAGAAGACGAAGAAGACGACGACGACGACGAAGAAGAAGAAGAAGAAATTGAAGAAAGAGAGAAAGTGCTGCAGCTTAGATACGTAGACGAATTATATCCTCAGGATAATTTATGATACTATATATGATTTCACAATGTAGATTATTCACAGTATAGATATTCACAACGCCGTGGCTACGCAGCTCCCAGGCTACGCGTCCGGTCATATATTTCTTATGTGAACTATATTTTTTCAGTAAAAAACAATAATCAATAGGTTTTACTTATTGATTTATACTGATGATATATGATACTGATATATATTATACTGATGATATATGATATATTACTTACCTTTAGGTATTTTATCAAAAAACGTGTTTTTTGTAACTTTTGGAGCAATAGTAAATCCAGTAAAATCAACGATTTGAAAGGGGGCGTGGCCTAATCGTGACTATCAGCTTATCAAGCTTTGTAATGGATGACCGGACGCGTAGCCACTGCGATGTAGATAAGCCAGCATGAATGACATCATTATTCGCCAACAGGGGGCGGTAAGTGCGTCGGCACGCTACTAATTAGTTTGGCTAATGAATCCGCGCCACGTGCGCGTAGCCAGCTAGCTATTGACCGCTTACCTGTCGGAGGCACAAAGGCAAATAGAATCTTCCATGAGATGGTGAGGTAGTGCATGACGTAGTCAAAACACGATGGAAGCTTCGCCGCCGCTGCCTCGTCATCGTCGTCATCGTCATCGTCATCGTCACCTGCGGCAGCGAGATAATCTGTCGTAAATGCGTTCCGATTGTCCGTGATAGTTGCGTTTTGCCATTAAGCCGGGAAACCTAGCGGTTGTCATGCTCTCTTCGGCGTTGCGTATGAAATTATTGGTTCGGACGCGTGGATGAAATATATAGAGACGAAAGAAAATGATATAGTCGTATACACTACTTAGAGATTGAGCGTATATATTATATACGATCCGCCTGGCTGTTTGTCTGTCTGTCTGTCTGTCTGCCTTTCTGTGTGTCGGTCTGTCTGTCTGTGTCCGTCTGTCCGTTAGTTCGATCATCTGTCCGGTATAAGTAGTTATTACCACGATAAGTAGTAAAACGTCACAACTGTTAAACGGCACTTCACTGAGAAAGCTATTTGATACGCATGATGTCATTACGACGTTTCTCACAACGGACTCCCTTGTCCCCGGGGGTATATCGCGATATCGGTGGTCAACCCGTATAGCCGTAGCACGTACCTGCACTGACTGTGATAGCATCCCGGAACTGCTCTGTCCAGCTAGACGTTCCCAGTATCGTCGATAGATTCCCCTTGTTCACTAGTTTGTCGACAGTGTTCTGAAAGAACGTACGCTCGCTAGTACGTCATACGCTCGCAAATGGCCACGAAGACTGATTGGCAAGCAGTTACAATCTTACATCGCGCTGGCGTAGAATACATTTAGGGTCTGGAATCTTTGTTGCTTAAAATGTTACTCGAAAGTAACATTACCTTAACTCCATCTCATGACCATAACTCTAACGCTAGTCCCATTCCGTAACTCAAATCACAGACACAGCTGCCAAAAATAACATATGAACGCAGCAACAGGAATATGAGGCATACATCAACAGGTATACCAGGCACACAACAACAGGAATACCAGGCACGCAGCAACAGGAATACCAGGCACGCAGTAACAGGAATACCAGGCACGCGGCAACAGAAATACCAGGCACGCAGTAACAGGAATAACAGGCACGCAGCAACAGGAATACCAGGCACGCACTAACAGGAATACCAGGCACGCAGCAACAGGAATACCAGGCACGCAGGACCAAAAATACCAGGCACGCCAACAACAGGACATACCAGAACACGCGACACAGAATACCAGGCACGCAGCAACAGGAATACCAGGCACGCAAGAACAGGAATACAGGCTCGCCTACACACAGGAATACCAGGCACGCAAGCCAACAAGGAATACAGGCACGCCAACAACAGGACATCAAGCACGCAAAGGGCGCTCCAGAAAAAGCGAAGCCCAGGCGACACGCGACATTTGCATTTAAAGCACGGCGCTCTAAGGAATGCAGCAGGCCAGGGCGATGCGGACATTGACATGCCCAGCAGGCGCGATGCAGTCTCAGGCACACGCATCCCACGTCGTGTTCGCATAGGACATGGCTATGGAACCAGCTTAATAGACATGGGACATGTCCATGTGGACAGCATGACATGGCATGGCTGCAGTATACTGACTGTATGTGAACCACAGAGTGCAACAACAACACGTTGATTACGAGAGGTTACATATCGAACTAATCATGACATTGTATACTAGTACTGTGCGTGTATCGTGCATTGCCAAACAGTTTATCCTTAGGCTGTGCAAATTCATGACTTGTTTAATTAATAAACCAGACTCACACACGCGCCATATTTACAGATACCAAGACACACACATACACGTCATTACAACATACGGTATACATACACACGTACGTACGTAGTACACACACACACACCACACAACACACACACACACACACCACACAGACCAACACACACCACACACACACACACACACACACACTCACATGCCCACATACACCGCGCCCCACCACACACACACACACACACACACGACACACACACACAACATCACACACGCACATACACACGCGCGCAGCACACACACACACATCACACACACGAGCGCATTCGGCCCTATACACATCCTACACACATCGTACGGCACGCATGCACGCAACACGCAGCGGTGCTACAACCGCAGGCCACGCGCGCACCGCCCCTGCAATACACCCACATCACTGCACAGTAAACATCCGCAACGCTTCCGTCCTCAATTAACACGTCATTATAAGTGCCAGCTGTAATTGCATTCATTTCGCAGGAAATCGAAGTCCGACTAGGCCGCAGGAAACCCAGTTGAATGACTTTACTATATATAAAGATTATGTTATATATCATAGTATCATATGTATATATGTTATACTATATATATAATATATACTATAGCATATGTGTGTGATATCTACAAGCGCCAGCCTGTACGCTGGTAATGTAAGTAGGGTCTATATCTCATCCGCACGCAGGTCCATTAGCACGTTGCACGCCTATGCGCGGAGTTGGAGACACACAATCCGCAGCATCAACACTGCAAACAGTGTGCGCTGCTCCATATTACAATACACGCAGCCACCGTGTTTGTTCCCTACGGTTTCAATTACAGGTGCTCCCCCAGAGGGGCGGCCTACGCAGACAAGCGCCACCTATTTCCCTCGAGAATCGTATTTTCATCGGCTTAGAATTTTCTCATATATATTTGCATAACGGTTTCAACTGAGCCCGGATTATATTAATTTTTTATTAGAGAAGAGCTTTTAGCGTTTTAACAATTTGTTCGTCACGACGCTACGAGGTAATCTCGTATAATTCTCTCTACGGCCGGAAGCGCTTAAGAATTTCCGGGTCAAACGTTTCCTCCAAATTTTCTACTCGAGGCGCACCTTTTTCGCGAATTCATCTCCTGTACATGAAATAACTGATATAAGCAAGTTTTACCGACTCGCTGAACATAGAGGAACAATTTAATTCTCCCGAACAGCAATCAGATTTTAGTCAAACGATTAGACAATACCACTGTTCCGTACAAACCTGTTGGCCACAAGACACGTTGAGTAAACTTTCAATAAATAGCAATAATTGGGGAAAGAGAGAGAAAGAGAGAAAGAGAGGAAGGAAGAGAAAAGTGAGACAGGGAGAGAGAGAGAGAGCAAGACAGGGAAAGAGAGAAAGACAGAGAGAGAGAGAGAGAGAGAAGAGAGGGGGGGAGAGAGAAGGGCGCAGAGAGAAGATGAGAAGAGAGAGACGACGAGACCGAAGAATGATCAAAAGAAGGAAAGTCACGAGAGAGAAGCACAAGAGAGAGCAGGACAGAGGAGAAGAGAGAGGAGAGAGAGGAGGATAATTATTGAGAGAGAGCAGGTGGAGAGAGAAAGAACGGGAGAGAGGGAGCACCACCATACTACGTCGTGCTGATTAGAAGCTTCATGGGATCAGCTGTGAGTGTAGTAAGTAAAGGCGAGCTACTGATCCCTATACCAACGATATCTATTCCTGTGGTCACAGACATGGGCAGCATCACGCTAGATCAATAACATTCAGTCTTGCGACCCGCCCGGAGTTTAGTTCCCTCGTGCTCACTTCCCCTTACATATGGCTACACACAACACACGCATGCACGACCGCACAGCACGGACCCAGATCTAGCCACGCATCCGACCACGCACCATGGCACACGAATATTATCGATGATTCCGCTCCTGCATGATAAGTTGTCGCCTGCCGGGATGGCGATGACGAATGATGATGACATCGACGAACGATGGATGACGTGACGATGACAGATGACGACGACAGTGTCGATGACTGACGACTTGACGCTACCAGCGGATGTAAAAGGGAGGGCTGCGTTTCGTGTCATCTGACACTCACTCACCTTGAACTCCTTGCTCTCCTTGATTTGCACCATGATCTTAGGCGTCTCTCCCAGCTTTGGCTTCCCCATCTGAGCGATGCGTTCTGCCTCCGTCAGTTCCTATGTCGTCTTCCCATCTCCGTCCGGCAGTCGGACCGACCGGTTGTCGCTGTCTGTAACACACGGTGTAGATAGCGATGTATTAATGCTAGGCTGATCTATCGAGGAGGCGGTTGGGTCTTTAGAGACTGGGTCATGTATGTGTGTGATGTGTGTGTGCTGTGTGTGTGTGTGCGTGCCGTGCGTGCGTGCGTGCGTAAGAGTGCGTGCGTGCGTGCGTGCGGTGCATGCATGCAGCATCATGCATGCTATGAATGTATGAGTGTATGGTATGTATATGTAATGTATGTATGTAGTTATGTATGTAGTGTACTGTATGTATGATATGTTATGTAGTGTTGTATGTAGTGTATGTACTTGATGATGAATGTATGTATGGATGTTATGTAGTGTAGGTATGTATGTATGTGATGTATGATGTTGTATGTATGTATGTATGTTATGCTAGGTATGTATTATGTATGTATGTATGTTGTAATGTATTGTATGTATGTAAGTATGTATGCTATGTAATGTATGTGATGTATGCGATGCAATGATGCATGCATGCATGCATGCATGTAGGTTATGTATTGTATGTATGTATGTATGTATTTATTATGTATAATTATATTGACGTACGCCTCTCCATCGTCAATTACACATTATGCGACGCAGGAAAATTTCCACGCCGCCTCTACTCGGGAATTTGCTCAAGGATTGATTGATGGGAGCTATTCGAATTAAGACGTAAATCAGACACTGGAAGCAGTTCACACGATTCGTTTCATAGTATATTACATTCGAGTGCATGACATCGCGTGCGTGGCGTAGCGCGTCATACGCGCGTGCAAAGGGCGAGATGTAAACTAACGGTGTGTGCAGCATCGCACGAAAGGCATGAAAGAGATAAATTGCACGGTAAAAAATGACAATTGCCAGTAAAAAAGGTCGGCTAAAATTCTAGTTAATGTGTTCTGTGGCTGACATGCATTTCATCTTTCTCGTTCTCACGCGGAACAGAAGTGATATTTGAAACTGTTAGCGATAGTGTTTATTCGTAAACCTTCTATTAATAAGCTTAAGCATATTCAACATGTGTTATATTTATATTCAGCTTGTGAGCTAAGTGCATCAATATCGCTTGGATGACGCGGACACTGTATGAGAGGGAACGCGAATAGAGAAAGAGTAGAGAGGAGAAACAGGTGGAGGAAGAAGGGAGGAGGACGTGGTAAGCTAAGAGATAGAACGAGTCAGCGGAGAGCCGCCATGAAGAAGTGATGAGGTGAGAGTGCAGAGTGAGAGTCACTGAAAAGAAATGATGAGGGAAAGACAGAGCAAAGAATAGAGAGGGCGAGAGTGTGCGAAAGAAGTATGTGAGAGCGCTTCGAAAGATCAGAGGAAAGAAACAGAGACATATGATCTATTTATATATACTATATATATATATATATATATCAATTATATAGACAGAGAGAGAGAGAGAAGCAGAGGGCGAGGATGAGAGAGCCGAGCGAGAGAGAGAGAGTATGAGAGAGAGATGAGAGAGAGAGAGAGAGCAGAGAGAGAGAGAGAGAGAGAGAGAAAGAGAATGCATACAAGATAATCATCTACATGCAGTTGTCTATACACCTTTGCTGCGTGCGCGTGCCTCGCCGCGCGTACACGTATCTCGGCTAGGTACATAGTGAGAGACTTCATCAGCGTAAATCTTCATACACACGCCTGTGCGCGCACGCGTGATGTCTGCGACATGCACGATGCATTTTATTGGCTTCGTTTTGCTACGAGGGCGCCACGCTGGACCACTCTCGCTGTGGCTGAATAAACACAGTTTGCATAAACAAATAAAATTCTATATGAAACATATATGTGCGTTGCTCGTTGCTAATGCATTGGCTTTCGACTGGAATCAAAATTCAGCATGGATTTGCGTGTGCATCTCTCTTCTATATCTCTCTCCCCTCGCCTTCGATCGATCTTTCCCCCTCGCTCTCGTTATTTTTTTTATATCTCTTACTCCGTCGACCCCCTTCTCTCTAACCCAAGTCGCTCACATCTCAGCCTCTCCTGCGCTCTCGCTCCTTCCCTCCCTCTTGTCTTTGTTAGCTCTCTCTTTCTTTCTTTCTCCCTCTGTCTTTCTCTCGCTCTATTCTCTTTCTCTCTTTTACGCGCTCTCTTTCTCTGTCTCAGGGTTCTCACTCTTGCTTTTACTGCACATTCTATTCCGCGTTTGCGGGCTGATTCTATTGGACACTCGCTACCACCTCGCGACCTTCCTTTATCATGCCATTTCAGATTTCATGTTAGAAATCAAACGGGTTTCTCAGCTGACAATATAGCGAGGATTTCCTTAGATATTAAATCCATTCTTTCGGCCACATCGCTCGCTAGCAACCCACGAACCATCCGTTTTCTCGTGCTTAACACGCGAACAGTTTTAAGCGCGTTACAATATACCCGTATACCATCCATCACCTTCAAGCTATAGGAAATAACTTGGATTTTTTTACCGAAGCGTTACGTGGAAAGATCTTTTAGTTCATCTTCCATTTCTGTAGCTAGCGACAGTCGCGTAGCTAGAAGCGACCACCACTCCACCCAGCATCAAGGCGGCCGCCATGTTCCCAGCTTATATACGGCCGCCATGTTCCTAGCCTGTACGTATACGGCCGCCATGTTCCTAGCCTGTACGTATACGGCCGCCATGTACTCAGCTGTGATTCTAATCGAATTAATTTGGTGAGCCTTGTGGCTCGGGCCATCGCGCTACGGGTGACCCAGGGAGTCCAGTAATCTAGGAAGGGCTGATGACTGTAGGATGCATGAAGAAACGCTTCGCCAGCAATGACAGGTCATAACTCCCGACGTCATTCTGTCTTACCACAGAGAAGACGTGCGTCTAATATAATTATGCTGGTCACGCATGAAGGCAGGGAACCGGCCAGTGCATGTCGCTCTAATTACATCGATTGAGTGATTTGACAGATGACTCGATATTACGAGGAGTATTATTATATAGGGGAAATGCATTTAGTGTTAGCATTTAGTATTGTATTAGTAAGCGACAGCAAACATATCTTTAAACTCTTACCAGATAAATATGTATTTAACCCAAATTAGACTCATTGAGCCAGAGTATATTGATTTATTGTATGGACAGTATATATATATATATATATATATATATATATATATATACACGTATATATATATCAGAAGTAAGATAATAGTGAACTATAGGTTCCCTAATATCTACTTCTGATATATATATATACATTATATATATATATATATTACTATATATCAGTGGCACCAAGCTCTGCGAGGGCAACAGAAGGCGGCGTGCACTTGTATTTTCGCTGCTGGTCGGCATAGGATTCTGTGGACGCATGAAATACGGGAATGGGTATAGGCTGTTAGCCGAAGAAACATAATATCGATGGCGGAATAATCAGCGATCGAATTTCCTCTAAATACAGGGGATATCGTCGCATCTACAAAGCACACTCGTCTTCAATACGGCGCAGATCATGCCACTCTGAATCTTGCCGCGCGAAATTTCGTGCTAAGATGCTGTCACCCTTATACTTTTCAGATTGAATGCCTACATATCATATAATAAGAATTTACGCTTTCATGTGAGTGAACAGCGTCAGCTAAATTGAGAAGTATCACGCCCATTACGCATTAAACAACGGTGCGAATTAAGAAGAATCCTGATTTGAAATAGGTTCGTTAAAAACAAAGATAGAGAGATTGTATTAGGCGATATCTAGTACAATCTCTACCTCACCTCTGTCTTTGCCGGTGAAACTGAGCCTATCGACGATACTCGCGCCACCTATATTCGCTGAGGCATCATTCATAGAGGTGAAGGAAAAATCTTTGCATAATTTAAAACGAATTAATGTCGATTGACGTTGTGGGAAATTACGCAATATGCGAGCTCACGCGCTGCGGTTCTCACACAGCGAACAGACTCACATCGAGATCGGTTATAATTCACTCCTCTACGCTACCTCTAATGTTTGGCGTACGACGGCTGTCTATGGACTATTCACGAATGAACGGGCTACGGGTTTTTGCGGTCGATCAGGAGCAAAGACAATCAGACAATACTGCTCTGTATATACGCGCCGCACGATCAGAATGAGAGGGAGTAGAGCAGGCCGCGCAGTTTGTGAATCAGGCGTCCGTAACTCATTAAGTGCACCGCGTGGAGTTCAGTCAACACGCGCCGTCTGCGATTTCACGAAACCTCACATTCATTCTCCTACTTCTTCCTCTCCCTCTCTCTGCTTTATCTGCTCCGCCTCTCTCTCTCTTTCCCAGCTTCTATTTCTCTCTGTCGTCATCTCCAGCTCACTTTCTCCCTCGCTCGCTCTCTTTTACTCTCTTCCTCTCAGTCTCTCTCTCGCTCTCTATTTCTCTTACTTCCTCCTCTCTCTCTCTCTCTCTTTCTCCCTCTCTCTCTCTCTCTCCTCTCTCTCTTCCTCTGCTTCACGTCTCTCTCCTCTCAATATCTGTTCTTCTCCTCTTTCTTCACTCACTCTTCTTCACCTCTCTCTCCTCTCTCCTGCTCTCTCCTCTCTTCTCTCATCTCTCTCTCTCTCTGCTCTCCTCTTAACTTCTCCGCTTTTCCTCTATATATATATATTGCTCTCTAATTAGCTGCTCCTTTTTTCATAGCTCTCTGCCTATCGTCCTCCCTTCTCCATTCCTTCTCTCGTTTTATCTACCTCCTCCTCAATCTCTCTCTCTCTGCCTTCATCTCTGTCTCTCTCACCATCCACTCCTATCCTCAACGGAAGCAGGGCAAGAGCGAACACGCCGACACCGTTCACAGCATTACGCCACGTGACTCGACGCACGTCCTGTCTGAAAGCCTATCGTTGCAATTTAACCTAGAAGCGACGCACAGCCGAGCTAACTGCCGCGAATCGCCGCTTGTCTCGCTACAAATGCCGACGCGAAGCGCCTCTTGTGCCTCGCGGCGTGTGCCGGGCGGCGCGCGGGTCGCCTGTGGCGTAGGTGCCGCCCGCCGAACATATACGATCCGCGCCTCAAC